AGCCCAGCTTGTACTGATCCCAGCCCCTGTAGAAGTTCACGGTGCGTCCATCCTCCTCTGAACAACCTGGGGGGGACGGGATGGAGGGAGAACTAGCTAAACACACCAGATACCAGACAGCTCATGTTTCCAGGCAACAAGGTTTTACTGCTATGTCATTTATTGTGAAAGTCCAACAGGAAGTGCTGATACTGAAAGTCACTCTGTGGTAATACTCACCGTCCAGCGACCTCCTTCTGTCGTCATGTCACAGTACACCTACACACAAACACATTCAGTAGGAAACTTAACACGGCATATTCAAACATGCTACTGGTGCAACAACTATCTAACATACTTATCCATCCAATAACATCTGTTATCCATATCTGTTGTATTAGTAAGTAAGTATCAGTCAGAACTTGTAACTATGTTTCTGTTAGAGGTGAAGTGTACCTGGACAGCAGACCTCTCTCCAAGGGGATAGATGGTGTACACTCCACTGGGGAGGCTGCTATCATATTGTCAAATCACAGTGGGAAGACGAGCTGCTGGCAGCTGGTCAACAGAGGAGACTGATACCAGCTGGAACAGAGCACATGTAAATAAGATTTGAATATTATTTGTAGACCTCAATTACATTCAAAATGTTCTGTACGTATGTTTATTTATGTATCTGTTGTTCTGTGTGATAACCTAAAGGAAGTCTTAGAGGGTGAAATCTCAAAATCTTTAAGTTGGGTGAACTGTTCCTTTAATTTGGGGTTTATTCGTGGCTTCAGTTCTGAGAAGCTGCTCATCAGGGGCTGATGAGGAGATAAGAGAAGAAGAGAAACAGAATGTTTTATCAGCAGAAGAAGAGTGACAGACGAGAAGCGACAGGCGGTCTACCTGGACATGGATCACCTGCTGCTGGTGCTGCTGTTGCTGTGGAGCTCAGGTAGGACTCTGCTGGAATGATGAATGTTTGAAAGGTGCAAAACCTCAGTGTAAAAATACTGAATTAAAGCTGCAGACCTGCGTTAAAGACCTCAGTAAACATAACCACTATCAGTGAAATGTTATAACGTGTGAAAACTGAATAAAATGAAAACTGCTAAAAATAAAATCATAAAAAATGACAAAAATTAAGATGCCAACTATAGAGAGTCATTTTTCATCACTTCAAACTCACATAAGCTGTTATTTGATGGGATACATGTTTTGTCCTCCGGCTACAAGTTTGTTGTTTGTTTGGAGATACGAGGTTTTCACCAGATAATGCTGTTGGCCTTTGTATGTAGGAAGTTAAGACTCTCTCCCTCCATCGCGCAGCAGGATTTCTGGGTACTGACGTTTCAGGCTTCTATGTTGCATTAACTCTTTAAGAAGCGGCCTGTAGGTTAACTGAATGGGAATATGGAAGTTTTAAAATGCCTAAATAAAAACAAGTCAAAGTCAAACACAAAACAGTGATGTATGAATTTATTTTTATGTGGACACTCACTGTGTTCTAATTAGCTGGAAACATTTGAAGCTCCTTAATGTCACAGGTTTGTGTTGGTTGGCTGTGTTTGTGTGTTGTTTCATTCTGCTCTAGTGTTCTGGTCTTGATTTACTGTCTGTGTTCCCAGCTTTGACTTTCTCCTCAGGACTCCAGGCTGAAGGAAGTCACACCTCAACAGGTAAACAGAGAACGTAAATCCAATTTGTCCAAATTTCACTTCTCCCTTCTACAAAAATAGGATTATCAAAAATACAGTGGAAAAGATTTTTTAAGGGGCAATAAATATAGAAGATATTGATATTGAAAAAGTAATATTATATTTTCTCCTACTGTAGTTATTATATAAATCTATGTTGTACGTTTGTTCTCTAGCTTTGTTTTTGGTCGACAGGGAAGAGCCTGAGTTTGCCTTGAGGGTAATTGTATTTTCCTTCAGCCAATTTATGTCCCTGTGCATGTAGAAACAGAATTGAAGCGGGGGTACGAATTCTACCGAATGACGACTTTATATGCAGTAAATAACTAACCTCCTCAAATCGATTTCTTTTTAAATTCAACAGTTCTGTTGCTGCATCTGGACGCAATTCAATTCAATTTTATTTATATAGCGCCAAATCACAACAACAGTTATCTCACAGCGCTTTTCATAAAAGAGCAGGTCTAGACCGAACTCTATGATGTTATTTACAGAAGCCCAACAGTTCCCACCAAGAGCAAGCACTAGGCGACAGAGGCAAGGAAAAACTTCCTTTTAAGAGGCAGAAACCTCGAGCAGAACCATGACTCAGGGTGGGCGGCCATCTGCCTCGACCGGTTGGGGTGAAGGAGAGAGAGGGGGAGAGAGAGAGAGAGAGAGAGAGAGGCAGGCAGCCTACACAATATACACACAGAGGTACAGACAGTAAAGGTGATATTGCTATAGACTAAATGAAAAATGGTACAGATATTTATAGTAGTGTTAATGGTAACAATCGTAATGTTAATGATTATAATAACAATAATAACAATAGGACTAGTAACAATAGTCGTTGCAGCAGAGGGTGTCGAGCAGGAACACGGGGGCAGCAGGTGACCCGCAACCACAGATCCAGACTCCACAGCTCCAGAGCCAGAAAACCTGCAGGAAGTGATAGGAGGAGAGAGGAGAGAGACGAGAAAGCACAAGACTACCAGAAAGGGGAGAAGTTGTGTTAGTAACATGCAATAATGGGATGAGGTTGCATACAGAGGGAGAGAAAGTAGAGGAGAGAGGAGCTCAGTGCATCATGGGAAATCCCCCGGCAGTCTAGGCCTACGCAGCATAAGTAAGGGATGGTTCAGGACTCACCTGAGCCAGCCCTAACTATAAGCTTTATCAAAGAGGAAAGTCTTAAGCCTACTCTTAAATGTGGAGATGGTGTCTGCCTCCTGAACCCAAACTGGAACCTGGTTCCACAGGAGAGGCGCTTGATAGCTGAACGCTCTGGCTCCTAGTCTACTTTTGGAGACTCTAGGAACCACAAGTAACCCTGCATTCTGGGAGCGCAGTGCTCTGGTGGGGTAGTAAGGTACTATGAGCTCTTTAAGATAAGATGGTGCCTGACCATTAAGAGCTTTGTAGGTAAGAAGAAGGATTTTAAATTCTATTCTGGATTTTACTGGAAGCCAATGCAAAGAAGCTAAGACAGGAGAAATATGATCTCTTTTCCTGGTTCCTGTCAGAACACGTGCTGCCGCATTCTGGATCAGCTGAAGAGCCTTAATGGACTTTTTCGAGCAGCCTGATAATAAGGAATTGCAGTAATCCAGCCTAGAAGTAACAAATGCATGGACTAGTTTTTCTGCATCATTTTTAGACAGGATGTTCCTGATTTTCGCAATATTACGTAGGTGAAAAAAGGCGGTCCTTGAAATTGCTTAATGTGAGACTTAAACAACATGTACTGATCAAAGATAACTCCAAGATTCCTCACAGTGGTGCTGGAGGCCAGGGCGATGCCATCCAGGGAAACTATATCTTTAGATAATGCGTCACGGAGGTGCTTAGGCCCCAGAACAATAACTTCAGAGTTTAACATTAGAAAATTACAGGTCATCCAGGTTTTAACATCCTGAAGGCACATTTGAAGTTTAGCTAACTGATGAGTTTCATCTGGTTTGATCGATAGATATAACTGAGTATCATCTGCATAACAATGAAAGTTTATGGAATGTTTCCTGATAATATTGCCTAAAGGAAGCATATATAAAGTGAAGAGCATTGGTCCGAGGACAGATCCTTGAGGAACTCCATGACTAACTTTGGCATGCATGGAGGACTCATCGTTAACATGTACAAACTGAAATCGATCTGATAAATAGGACTTAAACCAGCTTAGAGCGGTTCCTTTAATGCCAATGAAATGTTCCAGTCTCTGCAATAGGATCTGATGTTCAATGGTATCAAATGCAGCACTAAGATCTAATAAAACCAGTACAGAGACAAGTCCTTTGTCTGATGCAATAAGGAGGTCGTTAGTAATTTTCACCAGTGCTGTCTCTGTGCTATGATGAGCTCTAAATCCTGACTGAAAATCCTCAAATAAACTATTGCTCTGTAGAAAGTCACACAGCTGTTTAGCAACTGCTTTCTCCAGAACCTTAGAGAGAAATGGAAGGTTAGATAGGTCTATAGTTGGCTAAAACATCCGGATCAAGTTTGGGCTTTTTCAGAAGAGGTTTAATTACAGCTACTTTAAAGTACTGTGGTACATAGCCTGTTGATAAAGATAGATTGATCATATCTAGTATAGAAGTGCTGACTAAGGGTAAAACATCTTTAAGCAGCCTAGTCGGGATGGGGTCTAAGAGGCAGGTTGATGGTTTAGATGAAGAAATTATTGAAGTTAGTTGGTAAAGATTGAGGGAAGCAAAACAGTCTAAACATGTATCTGGTTCTACAGTGCTGAAAAGAAACCTGGGGTTGTTCCTATTTTCCTCTATTAATGACGAGTAGTACGCTGCTCTGGCATTACGGAGGGCCTTCCTATAAGTTTTAAGACTATCTTGCCAAATTAAACGAGAATTTTCCAGTTTGGTGGAACGCCAATTCCTCTCAAGTTTCCGTGATATTTGCTTTAATTTGCGAGTTTCAGTATTATACCATGGAGCTAACCGTCTTTGTTTAGTATTTTCTTTTTTAGAGGGGCTACAGAGTCCAGTGTCATTCGCAGCGAGCCTGCAGCACTATCAACAAGATGATCGATTTGGGAGGGACTGAAATTAGCATAGGAGTCCTCCGTTACTTTGTGACTTGATAATGAATTTAGAGCTGATGGAATCGCATCCTTAAATTTAGCTACAGCACTGTCAGACAGACATCTTGCAAATTCAGATAAGAATTCAGAATACGGACCAGGTGCTCGGTACACTATAATGAAGAGAATTGGTTGCAGTGATTTCCAACTTGGGTGCGAAAGACTAAGAACAAGACTTTCAAGAGATCTGATGTTTAAGAGTCCACATTTAACTCTCCTATTCGTTTGCACTATTGCTCTTGTGGTTTTAATTTTTATGAGGTTTTTTATGCACAGCTCCTCTTCTGTTTACCTTTTTAAATAATTTTGATGGTCGGGGGGCAGACACATCCCGCAGCAGCCTACAGTAAAGTACCATCATGTGATGTCAGACGGTGTCACCGAGACTTTTGTATGTGCAAAGTACAGAAGTCAAAGAGAAAGTTATAGGGAGCGTGGTCAGTGCTGTCGTTGTCGAACTCCTGAAACGTCACTACAAACAGCTGAGCAGGAGGAGTCCACTGTGCTGAAATGATGCAGACTTTTTTGGGCATTTTCGGTACAATGACCTCCCGAATCACAGCAGCCACATTCCTCTTTGACAGAGAGGCGAGAGATTGTGGTGAATAAGAAAGAAAAGCGGCCTACTCATAACACAACACCGTGTCCTGAAAACAAGCACATCCACACTATCAAACAGGTGCTCAGACAATTCTAAAACATACTGGGAGCCAGTGTAATGAAGCTAAAATAGGAGTAATGTGGTCATATTTCTTTGTTCTGGTTAAAAGCCTGGCAGCTGAGTTCTGGACAGTCTGGAGTCGATTTGTAGATTTTTGGGTTAAACAGGTGAAACGGATGTTGCAATAATCCAGGCGTGATGAGATGAAGGCGTGTAAAATGGTCTCGGTGTCCTTAAAAGTTAACATAGATCGAATTTTAGCTATATTTCTAAGTTGATAAAAACATGATTGAACAAGCTTTGTGGTGTGCTGCTCCAAATTTAAATTACTATCAAACCAAACACCAAGGTTCTTTGCCACAGGCTTAATGTGATTTACTAGGGAACCAACAGATGGCAGTATTTGATTTTCCATCTGCTGAGACCCGATGACCAGGATTTCTGTTTTGTCTGAGTTCAGCTGGAGGAAATTATTTGACATCCATTTTTTTACTTCACAAAGGCAGTTGTTAAGTGAACTCAGCATTCCAGGGTCTGTGGATCTGACGGGCAAGTATATTTGTGTGTCATCAGCATAAATATGAAAAGAAATGCCATGTTTATGGATAATATGTCCAAGGGAAAGCAGATACAAGGAAAACAAAATGGGTCCTAAGACCGACCCCTGAGGCACACCATATTTAACTGGACAGAACGAGGAGACATAGTTGTTTACAGACACACAAAACTTCCTATTTGACAGGTAGGATGAAAACCATTCTAGGGCAGTACCAGAGATCCCCACCCAGTGCCTCAGTCTGTCTAACATGATGTTGTGATCAATGGAGTCAAAAGCAGCGCTAAGGTCCAGGAGTACCAGGACTGAGCACATGCCTTCATCAGCAGACATTAAAAGGTCATTGTGACTTTAAGCAGGGCAGTCTCAGTGCTGTGGTACTTCCTAAAACCAGACTGAAACTTTTCAAATAATTTGTTATTTTCCAGTACAGTGAGCAGCTGTTTGGACACAGTTCTTTCTAGAATCTTTGCAATAAAAGGCAGTTTTGAAATTGGTCTAAAATTATGTGGGAGGGAGGGATCTAAACCAGGTTTCTTTAAAAGTGGGTTCACGCAAGCCGTTTTAAAATAATCAGGGACACAACCAGTAGATAGGGAGCTGTTGAAAACAGAGATCAAATGGGGCCCAACAGAATCTATTACTTTCAGTAAAAATTTGTAGGTATTACATCAAGTGGGCTGGAGGACACTCTCATTTGTGATACTGTTTTTAAAAGCTCAGACAAGTCGATGGGATAAAACTGGTTAAAACTCTCTTGTTGCTGGTGAGGAACCTCTGAGTAAGAGGCCACGGGGGTAATAGAGGCTCTGATTGACACCACCTTATTGGTAAAATAAGATAAAAACAATTCACAGTCATCATTACTTCCAGCTGAGGCACAAGGAGGGGTTGGGTTTACCAGCTGATCCACAGTCTTAAACAGAAACCTGGGATTGTGTTTATGTGTAGTAATGAGTTCAGAAAAATAGTGTGTTCTCGCATCCTTAACCATGTTATTGTAGTTAATTAATAAATCCTTCAGACTGAGGTAATGGACTTGGAGACTGGATTTTTTCCATCTGCGCTCTGCTTTCCTGCATTCCCTTTTTAGGCTGCGAATGCTGTCATTTATCCAGGGTTGCTTACTAGCTTTAGACGTAGGCCTAACCTTTAGAGGAGCAGTAATATTTAGTGACGACAAGCAGATATGATTGAAGTGATCGACCAGATTGTTGGTGTTGGAATCAGACAGGTGTTGGCTTTGGCTCTGAAAGAATGCGCAAAACTTTGAAACACTTGTTCATTAAAGATGCGAGAACACACGGAGCTTGGTGAGGCGGCATGAGTAACAGGCGAATCGCAGCTAAAAACAATACATCTGTGGTCAGATATGGTCATGTCCACTAATTCCACAGAGGAAATGCTGACACCCAGGGTAAAAACCAAGTCCAGGTATGACCACGGTTATGTGTTTGCCCTTTGACATGTTGTTTGAAGTTAAAAGAAGTGGCCATATTTAAAAAGTCAGTTGCATTAACATTGTTGGGGTCATCAACATGAATATTAAAATCGCCACAAAGAACAATTCTGTCATAATTTAAAACCAGAGTAGATAAAAATTCAGGAAGTTCTGATAAAAATCCTCCAGGCGGTTTTGGGGGGCAATAAATTATAACAAATATGATAGGTTGCAGCCCCCAACTTTAAGAGTGAGAACTTCAATGGAGTTAAATTCATCACAGCGTACTTGATGACATTTAAAATTTTTCCTATACACGCTCACTAGCCCACCACCACGACCACTGACCCTCGGTTGACTAAAACATCATATTGAGGCGGACACAGTTCAGCTAGCTGGCTATAGTCATTCATCTGCAACCAGGATTCAGTTAAAAACATAAAATCTAGATTTGCAGACAAGATAAATCATTTAAGATAAAAGTCTTACTTGAAAGTGATCTCACATTGAAGAGAGCCATTTTAAATGAGTTTGTTCTGGGTGCTGGAGTTGGTGCAGTTGTCCTAATCCTTAAGAGATTACTAATATTTCTGTGTGGGATGTGCACATTTCGGTTTACTGGTCTATGCGTGATGATGACAGGAATAGAAGTCTGTGGAACAGCGCTGGGAGCAGACGGCTTTACATGCCAGCAGGTGGAGACAGTGTTTGTGGCAGTGAGGCAGAGATCTGTTCAGTGAGCGGTGGTGTGTCCAGGTGTGCTGCATGAATGATAGTCATTCACGTAAGTCATGTGTGGACCGCACCACATGCTGTATGTGAGCAGCTAACATTTCTGAGCCCCGTTTGTTTGGGTGAAGTCCGTCTGTCTTAAAAAGAGACATTCTTTGCCAGAAAATATTAAAATTATCCACATAACACACGATGAGCCCTGCAGGCGGACTGGAGCCAGTCGTGGAGGCCAAGGAGTCTACTGAAGCGGCCAGCACCGCGACCAACTGTGGGAATGGGACCAGAGATAAAAACGGACTTTCCACACTGCTTTAAAAAGTTAAGAAGACGGTTAAAATCTGATTTTGTCAGCTCAGACTGCTGAAGAGCTGTGTCATTTGTTCCAACATGGACTATCACTCTTGTGATGGAGGACGGGAGCGACGGCATAGGTCCTGGAGTTTTTTTTAAATGTCAGCCGTGGTGGCACCGGGGAAGCAGAAGTAGCGTTAAAGAGGTTTCTGGTTATGGAGTCACCAATTATTAGTGTGGTTGGGGAGAAAAGAGGACGAGGAGATGCCGGTTGTGTGGTTCCAGAGCAGGACTGAGCAGAATCTGCTTCAACACTGCGTGCGGACTGAGGATGGAGTGTGTGAGCTGTGAGTGTTGGTTGGAGTAGCAGTAGCAGACCTGAGAGAAGGGCTACCCGACGGTGCAGGGTAGAGACGGCCTCCGGAGCGTCTGAGCACAGCCTCCTTCAGGATCCTACGTCGGGAAGCGGAGGTTTTGGACCGGGATGACGGCCGCGATCAGGCCGGCGGCAGACCGGCGGCCCAGTGCAGGAGATGTAGCCGGTGGAGGAGATGTAGCTGGAGGGATGCAACAGTGTCGGCAGGCACTGTGCGGCGAAAGAGATCCGTATCAGGGAGACTCGAAGCCACAGGTGCATCAGCTGGATGGACCGAAGTGTCGTTAGACAAGGCTGCATAGCGGTTGGAGAGGCCGATGTCCGGAGGAGAGGCAGCCCCATCCGAGCCTCTCTTGCAGCCACGGACCACCACTTCCGCCCAGGTTGACTGATGCTTTGGAGTCGAGCAGGATGAAAGCCTGGGAAGGTAGAGGGGTCCCAAAACACGGTGTCCTGGATGTTAGCGGTTGCGCTAAGAGAAACAATCTGTTTGGCTTGTACTGAAGCCACATCCATAAAGCCAGTCAGCAGGGAATCTTTCTCTTTGAGTTCCTCTGAAAGTCGTCGGATGTCTTCCATAAGGTCAGCAATCTTCTTGTTCGCTTTCTTAAGGAGTGAGCAGTCCTCATGGGGCAGAGTTATCTCGGCTAGCATAGTCACCGGAGCTTTGTTGCGAATCAGTAGCGTTGATCGTTTTTACGGTCATCTAGCTTAAAATCCATGTCGGATGGCTAAAATCCTTAACCCAATAAAACTTAAGTTAAATAAAAAGGATATAAAAAGGATATAAAAATGTAACGAAAAAGAGTGGATTAAAACTGGATAAGAGTCCGGTTTAAGACGGAGCTTCCGACAGGCGGCTACAGACGCAGAGTGCAGATTAGGTCAGCAATTACGTCAGCGATCTTGCGATCTGAAGATACTGTGTGACATCTGACGAGCCTGCATTGAGCGAAATCTTATGTTAGCATGCTGATTTAGCTCAGAGCATCACTGTGGCTAAATACAGCCTCACTGAGCCGCTAGCATGGCTGTTAGTTCTATGTTTGATCTTTTGTGTATTGTATCCCACAATCCTCTGTTTTCCTCCAGGTGCTCGGTGTGACACCACAGCCAAGGCTGACATCGTGCTGTTGGTGGACGGCTCCGGGAGCATCGGCAACTTAGAATTTGAAATCTTCAAGTCTTTTATCTCTAGCATAGTCAGAAACCTCCACATCGGCCCGACCGAGTCCAGATTGGTAATATTTGGATTCATACTACACAGTACACACACATATAGACACACAATAATGTGGAGAGACGTCAGAGTGATGGGCTGCTGCATAGCACCGAGAGAGAGAGAGAGAGAGAGAGAGAGAGATGCTACAATTTGTCTGAAGATCAGGTAACGTGACCCCCCCACATGTGTGGATTGTGGTCTGTTGCTGATCATAAGTGCTTGCAGTTTCGGTTTTTACCTCCGATGAAGAGCAGTGCTCTTGTCTCATCCGGTACAGTCCCAGAGGAGCGCACATGCACATGAATGAAAAATATTATGACTGAAATAAATGTATATATATAATTAATGTTATTCTGAAAATGTCAAAGAACACAGATATGTGGGGAAAGATTTTTTTAATGTGCAGAAAGTTTTGAACATGAGCAGAAAAGCTGCTGAAACACAGGAGCTATAGGAGTCCAGAAGTTTCTAACTGAATTAAAATGAATTAATTTCTCATTGCACAGACTCAGATTATTTTAGAGGGTTAGAATTAGAATTTTGACCTGCCACCTGAACTTTGGGTACCTCTTTATGTAGTCCTATGATATTTAATAAACATATGAGATCTGTTACCTACCAGCCCAGATGGCCACTGTGCATCTTATTAAAGTCCATAAACACTACTTTTGTTTAGGAAACAATTTAACTGGTGTGTAGCCACCTGGGATGTTTCTGTAAACTGATTCATTATTGTCAGAAATAAGTCCTACAGTGTGATCTGTTGCCTCTACCTTCCTAGCATGGGCTAGTAGCCAAGTCCACAGCCAGCGAGCGGATCCTCTTGAACAACAAGGGGCTTCTTCCACCAGAAAACATTTACTGCTAACACAACGGCTACTCTGTTGTAACTCTGTTGTAGCCCAGGAACTCCCGGCAAGGCTGTCACCAATACACTGTTGTATCATGAAACTGTACTCACTTGCCCGAGCTGATGCTCCAGCATCCACCCAGCAACCCTAACCCTCCCCTCTCATTCTCCCAGCATTAAATCAGCCTCGTTCACCTGCTGCTCCACTCTCAGGTTGTTGATTGGCTCCCCTGTGTTCTGTCCCTGACTGAGGGCTGGCTATTCAGCTGTTCTCGATCAGGGTGCGTTTCCCGTTCAACAACGGAAAGTAGAGTTTAACCATCTTGGTATCACGCATTGTTAAATTAACAAACATCTACCGTTTCCAAAAACTTTCCTAACTTCCATCGTGGTTGAACTAACTTAGTTCGAACCAACATGTTTCCAGGTGTGTTTGTCTGACTTTCACAGCACAAACGTTGTCATATTAGCTATGCCCAAATAGGTCAGGTGTGACCAATATTAAGTGACATTATTATGCTAACTCATTACGTAGGCTTTTCATATTATGGTCGTATAGGCTACCGGCAATAACAAGAAAAACAACTATATATATATAATATACCTAATCATTTTATTTATCCTAAATATAGCCTGTTTTATTGAAATAGCAACATTTTACAAGAAAAAAATAAGGACTATTAAACTAAACATTTAGTAAATTAGGTTTAATCTGCAAAGCGGCCGGAGTTTCATGTCGGCTGCATCAGCAGATTCTTCAATAAATTAAATGTAGAATTGTTCAAGGCTGAAAGCTTTGAGCTGCTTGCACATGTTCTGTCCAGCACGCTCAACCAAGCGTTCCCGCCAAAACACTTCCTGGATGTGGTTTACATCCTGTCACCTCCCGGCTCATTGAATGTGACAATAAGGGGGAGACCAAGCAGGTTAAAGTGCCAAAAAAGAACATTTTATTAAATAAACTATGAACAAAAAAAACTATTTACAACAGAGAAAACGTGATTATCAGTGGCATCAGTGGTGAATGGAATGCATAGATGAGTGAAAATGTATGAACAAAGGTTGACCGCAACTCAGGAAACAAATCCAAACCAGGAGATGAGGAGCCTAGAGAGAGAGACAGACAATGAGACAGGGGGAAATATGTAGCCTAGGCTGAGGCCGACACAGGTGTCAGTCCATTACTGAACGAGCCCTCCCAAACTGCCAGCTCCTGCAAGAAGCAACCAATGAAGCCACAGCTGGCAGAAAGGGAGGGGTCATAACACTCCTGATACAATGGCCAAAATGTTATGTGTTAAGAGTGGGTTGTGAAGAGATCACATGGTATACTGTCCTAATGTACTCTGATGGTAATGCCTGGGAAATGCACTTAAGACCATTTTCCTGTTTCTAACTTTCAAAGAGTCCTGCCATCGAGTGAGAGGATTAAAAGAGGGAGGTGTTTTTAATGTTATGAACTGGGTATTGCCCTGACATTTGACATTCCATGGTTAATGTTGTACTTTAAATGTAATAAGTGTTTATGTTGAGGACATTTATTTTGCAGGAATGTTTGTTTCCCCCGTGTTTAATACATGCCCAGTTACTTTAATGCAACAAGTTGTTAAATAGTATACTTTGAATATGTGATTGTCCAGTTATTTTTCCTTGGATTACCAGTAGGTGGCAGGATAAGCTACAATATATGCAGGCAAGCCACACAGAAGCAGCTGCAGTTGTTAGACAGCCCTGGTCTGTTGTAAGTTTGTTCCCGGTGCTGCAGTATGAACAGCTTGGGTCCACTAATGCTGCAGCTGTCTGAGTGGAGTAACATGAGGAAAAAGTTTTGACAAATTACACCTTTTTTTTCTCTACACACATCACTTTAGAATTTTGTAAAGAATACTCATTATTTCTTTTATGATTGAAAAGAGGGCTGGTTCAGCCTGTTCTTGTGTTTGTGTTTTCTGCAGGTCTGGTTCAGTACAGTTTTAGACCACAGACTGAGTGGCACCTGAACACCTACCAGACCAAATATTCCCTGCTGGGGGCCACAAGCAGTCTGCGACAGATTACAGGAAGCACCAAGACAGGTTATTTAGTATTGATGTTATTGTAATAGTGTTGTATAATATTGTGTTACAACATTATAGCACAACAATATTATCAACAAAAGATCGTTAATATTGTTTTATTAATAATGCTAACAGTAATTAGAATAATACAATAACAATGTTAGAAGTCATGATGCAAGCTCAACATTTCAAACTCAGTGATTGGATGTGAACTTATAACTGAACTCCTCTCATTCGCTCTTCAAGTGCTCTAACTGTCAGTCACCTAACAGCTATGGGAAGTTGAACGGGATATTTACTCATGGAAGGAGGGGTGACTGAAACCCCCCAGCTTCGTACCTCTCTGCCTTTTGATGCCTCTTTATTTCTGTCATACAGGAAAGGCTCTTAACTTCACCCTGCAGAACAACTTCCAGCCCAATGTGGGAATGCGTGCGGACTCCCAAAAAATTGCTGTCTTGCTGACTGACGGACAGTCCCAGGACGACACACGGCTCCCCTCGAAGAAACTGAAGGACGCCGGCATAGAGATCTAGGCTATTGGTGACTGACTTTCGGTTTGAATGCTTCACCACAACAGAAATAACATGAATTGGGCCTGTTATTTCATGCTTGTCACAATGAAAATGATAGCTAGCCAGTCCCTTATATATTATGATGATGATTATAAGAGATGCAAATGACTACATTTGTTGTTTATATCAGTCAGTGTCTTTATGAAAATCAATTCAAGCATGTTTTAAGTATTTGCAAGTTGATTTTAATCATTTGAAACAAAAATATATTAACTAAACTCAATGGCTGTCCAGAAGGAAGAAAGTCCTGCTAAAACATGGGGTTTGTTTTAGCTGACAGTCAACGGTAAAGTGCATCTGATTTCTAGTTAATACGATTAAAACACACAACCATCAGTATGGTCTGTCAAACGTATGTAGTTTATATAGTAGTCTCGTTTTTTCTGCTCTGTATTAACACCACATTTTTCTCTCAGGGGTGAGGCGTGCCAAAGAGAGTGAGCTGAAATCCATCGCCTCCGAGCCCACTGAAATTCACACGTACAGTGTCGCAGACTTCTCGTTTCTCCCAGCCATCGTTGACAACCTCACCATCAACCTCTGTGACAACTCTAAAATCTTAGGTAGGCAAAGAGTCCATCATCATACTGGACTATACAGGACTGTGCTCTTGGCTGTCTTCAAGTGGGAACCTCAGTGTCTGAAAAGTGAAGCCAATACTGAAGCACCTTAAACCTGCATTCTCTCTTTTCCTAGTCAAAATTACCATCCTGGTTAAAATCAGTTAATGAGAATTACGTATAATCCCATACTCGAGGTTTCAAAACAGCAGTCCGCAAGACGTCATGGTGACTCCGTCCACTTAGCTAGCAAGGACCATGCCACAACAGTATGTGATTTAGAGGTACATGCAAAGGTGGAATGCATGGATTATGGAGGATGGATTAATGCATATGAGGAACATGA